CAGAGACTGCGAAGAGACCCAATGTCCATGTTGTCTATTAGACATACCACATGAGGATTTTCCTGCTGCTAGTAAGGTCTGGCGAACATGTGACCAGTGACCATCAATTGTCTCCTGTGAGCGCTTGCTCAACTCGCATGTTAGCGTACTTCGATACGCATTCAGAACAGCTGGTTTTGTCAGTTGGCTGGTGTCAATACGCTCACAGCGTCGTCGTGGGCGTCCGCAAAAACGCATCCACACGCTCACACAACACGGAATGGATGTACAACTCTCTGCTCACGTCTCTCGCTCTCTGAACTCTCTCACTTTGGCCGGGACGCTGGCGGCCGGGCATGCTAAACCTCAATCTACCGCACCGCAAACCACGTTCTTCGTTCCATGTTTATTCAACCCTCCTGTTCTTGGCAAACCCCTTCAATTTCGAATCTCCAAAAGTGCGTTGAAGAGTAAAAAACGGTACCTTTGGCCTCATCAATGAACCGCTCAAAACCGATCGCACACATTCCAATACCAACACCCCGCTCGCTCTTCAAGCTAGCTACGTTCAATGTTCGAACGCTCATGCAGATGGGTTCACAAGCTGCTCTTGCGCGGACTTTGGAAACCCTCTCAATCGAAGTTTGCTGCCCAACCGAAACCTGTTTATAAGACGCCAACACAATGCTGCGATTGCTCTCACCCTCCCCAAGTTCCAATTGCACATTCACCTTGCGCTTGTTTGGAGATGCGACAGCGGCAGCCTCTGGTTGCGCAGGGGTAAGAGTTCCGTTAAGCGCGCGTGCTGAGGCAGCGCTCATTGACTGGTTCCCGGTCAACAGTCGTCTTTGTGCAGTCCGCTTGGAAAGCACAGTGCGAGCTTCCAGCCACGGGACCAGTAGGCGCTGCTTATTCATTGTGGTGGCGTACGCTCCAACTGACTGCAGCCCGGACGAAGCTAAAGATGAGTTCTACCGCTAACTCACCGACCACCGCAAGAAACGCCCCACGGACATCGTGATACTCCCCGGTGACCTAAATGCGCAGATCGGTAGACTTGAGGTTCATGAGTGCGAACTTGGAGGTCAAAACAGCCACGGTACTCGCAGGATGGACAACGGCGATCGACTCCTGCAACTGTGCGCCGATCACGGCTTGTTTCTCTCCAGCACCAATTTCCGACGTTCCTGGTACCAACGAGCCACCTGGAGACCACCGGCGCCTGGTCAATCTTGGACGCAAATTGACCACATCGCTGTTAGTTACCGTTGGCGAGACTGCATAACGGACGGCAAGTCAATATGGAACACTTACCTGACTTTGGATCATGCGCTCGTGTGTGCTAAGTTCGTTCTGCGCCTTGGAGGCACCCAACAGCGTCGACAGAAACGGTTGGACACTGACAAGCTCGCCGTTCCAAATGTTCTCGGCGCACTTTAGAACACATTAGCCTCCAACTTACGTTCTCTATCCTCCGATGTTGAGACACATTGGGTACAGATCCAGAGCACTTTACGAAAGTCCGCTACCCTGGTCTGGGGCTTCACTAGACGAGCTGCTAGTCATTAGATTTCCGCACAGTCTCTCTAATTAATGGAAAGTCGTCGAACAATTCCCGCCGAAGTTGAGTACAACGCACTACGCAGAACCACAGGTGCTGAGCTCAGACAGCTCCTCAGGAAGGATCGCGAGGTTTGGTGGACACAGCGCGTCGTCGAAATGGAGCGGGCAGCCTCATCAAGAAACTCCCGCAAACTCTTCTAACTTATTCGCTCCACGGGAGGCAGAAGACCAACAGTGAGTGAGGTTTCATGTGAAAATGACGGTGAACTCATTCAGTCGTCACCGTCGTCTGGTACGATGGGCAGAGCATTTTGAAGATCAATTCAACTGACCACCAGAGCAACCGAGTCTACATTTTGGGGTTCAGTGCTTCCTGGTGCGTGGATGTTTCTCCACCGACAGAGACTGAGGTTTCCAATGAGCTTCGCTTTCTAAAGCGCCACAAGTCACCTGTCCCAGATGAACTTCCTCCTGTCCTCTTCAAATATGGAGGTCCTGCTCACACAGGCGAACTGACATCTCTATCCCATCAGATTTGGACTACTGAAACCATTCCATCCGACTGGAATTTAGCGGATGTTGTACCAGTTTACAAAAAAAGAGACCGGACCATTGGCTCCAACCATCGTGGCATCAGTCTCAATTGTGTCGCATCCAAAGTGCTCGCTGTCCTGCTCTTACGGAGGCTCAGTTGCGTACGGGAACAGCACCTGCGTGAACAACAAGCTGGATTTTACCAGGATCGCAGTTGCGTCGATCACATCTTTGCGATCCGCCAGATACTTGAAGATCGCCATACGTTCAGTCGACCAACTATAGTCATATTCTCGGACATAAAGCCGCGTTTGACTCTGTTGACAGAGTGGCTCTTTGGGACTGCTTACTGACGAGGGGAGTACCTGAGAAGTAGATCAGCATTATCCGTGCTATTTACCACCAAATTTCGGGCCGCGTGCGAGCATACGGAGAAATTTCGCCCTCTTTCAGTATCACTAGCGGTGTTAGACAGGGTTGCCCAGCCTCTCCATTCTTGTTCAAATTCGCCATGGACGAGATCCTGGATACCGCCCTGGATAACACTGAGTCCTGCGGTGTTGAACTGCTCCCTGGTGACCGCCTTCGGGACTTAGAGTACGCCAATGACATCGCTGTGATTTGCGAGTCCTCCCAGGCCGCCCAGCATGTGCTGCTCAGACTGGAAATGCCCGCCTCCTAATTTGGGTTGACCTTTGTCCCTTCCAAATGTAAGGTCCTATTACAGGACTGGCCAAGCGCATGTTCTTCTCTCACCCTTTCGGGGCATCCGTTGGAAATGGTCGACAAATTCATTTATCTTGGGAGTTGTCTTAATATGGGCGGTTTGACAGATGAGATCTCTCTGGGTGTCTCCAAGGTTAGAGTCGTTTTCGCTAACCTTAGTCACCTGTGGCTTCGTCGCGATCTCAGTCTCACTCTCAAGGGAGGAGTCTATAATGCTACGGTATGAGCGATTCTGCTGTACGGCTTTGAGACTTGGTCCGTTCGCAAAAGCGATGTTCAGCGGCTATCAGTCTTCGATCACCGCTGCCTGCGAAGCATTGCTGGTGTTCGATGGCAGCACCACATCAGTAATGAGAAAATCGGTCGGCGAGTTTTCAGATATAACGAACTCTGCCGGTCGATTGATAGCATCATCTCACTGCGGAAGCTCCGTTGGCTTGGCCATGTACTTCGCATGCTTACCCAGCGGCTACCACGACGAGCCCTATTCGCGAGCACAGGTGTGGCCTGGAAGCGACGAAAAGGAAAGCAATGTAAAACTTAGATCCAATGTGTTAAGCCGCGAACGTTGGAGCTGGCTGTTGTCGGGCGTTCCCGACTCCCGGGTTGGGGACCAAGGGACCCCGAGCACACCTGGTTGCAAACGCTGGAGGATACGGCAAAGGACCGTACGCAATGGCGCAGTGGCTGTGAGACTCTTCTACCCTAACAGTTGTTTCCCTTTCATGCTATCCTTTTGTCTCCTTATGTGTTGTGGCATTCAGCCAATTATATTGTAATTTGTATAGTGTTGAATATATATATATATATATATATTCTTCGTCAAAGGAATGGGAGATGAGATTGGCGGTTTGAATCCAAGCTGCAGTTGACAGGAGTACACAGTGAAATGACAAACACGTCTTTAGACTCTGCTTATTAATTACAACAGAGGCCCGAAGACAAACAGCAAGTAGCCGGCATACATTCAGGTACATGTTTTTCATGTTTGCTGTAGTGAATAACAAAACTATGAGTGAATGGACTCGTCGACGCGATATCGCAAAATATCACTGCCGACAGATTTGGAAGCAGATGTCCGAACGTTAGTTATCCGCCGTTTCGCAGGCATAGCACATAGTAATTTCAAGAGCGTGAAGAGAAAAAGAGGGTGAGAGTTAGCGCTGTCTGTTTATCTAGGTCAGCTGGAACGTGCGTGTTGAAAGAGCCGATGTAAAATAACAACCTTTATTTAAGGGACGCATTAGACGCGTCATTGCAGTGGTTGAGAAATCAGGCGCAGCCTTCGTCTCATTACCAGAGGAATAGGAGAGGCGCAAAGAAAAAGATAACCGGAAAAAAGTGTTGATGACGGGGTCTCATGGGCGGCTGATACTCTTCGGCAGCACAAGCTGAAAGTAGAGTTTTCTGCATGCGTCATACCTTTGACCAATGGCTCAAGAGCCGGATGTACAAAGGAGCAGGGTAAGTGGAAGGAAGTCCACTCGAAACCATCGACAACACAGTCCGACTCGCAAAGCGGTAGAAAAAGGCCCAACCCGGCAAAGTGGCTGAACGGTCAAGTTGGGAAGTGCTTGAGTTTGACACAACATACATATTTGTAAGTAGTAGGCAGATTTATTAGGTTTCTGTGTAGATTCGTCGCAGTTAGACACAGACAGACAGCCAACACAGATCCAGGAAAGCGCTAGACGGTCGTCAGTACCGCGCACCCGCCGAGTGCTGCCTCTACACAGAAACCTAATAAACCCCCCTACTACTTACAAATAATCAGGAGTCGCCTTAGCGACATACTTGTCACCTCGATTGGTGGCGGCTTGCAAAGGAAGTCGTTGTTCTGGGGGCCAGCCCTATCCTCTGCACCTTCATAACATGCAAGACAGTGGAGGATGAGCCGCGCTATATCGCAGTTAGGTATCAGTCACGACGGTTCGCTACCGTCACCCATGGCTCAGTGACATAAGTCGCTGACTCGCAAGAGTAAGGTCGTGGGTTCGAATCCGGCAGGATTCGGCGGGTGCGCGCTACTGTCGAGTCCCAATAGGATGAAACGGCCATCTAGCGCTTTCCTGGATGTGTGGTGGCTGTCTGGTTGTGTCTAACTGCGACGAATCTACGCAACATACAGATGTTCAGAACAATGCACTAGTTTTTCGATCGTAGCAGATTGCATATTTGGGATTTGATTGGCTTGCATCTCAGTAAACACAGGGTGCACCGGTTTGAGACGTGGAGTAGCAAAAGCACTGATCAAGGGTGGTGCCCCCAATCGCCAGAAAGAACGCGTAGAGATAATGTCGCTGAAGCTAGTGGTAAACAAGACAAGTAAAATAAGAAAGCAGAAGATAAAAGATGATGATTGGCACATGTGGACCGTAAGCAACAGTATGGTGCTTTGCAGTGTCACTGCGAGACACACTGAGAGTATATGGCCAATCAAATTCTGAAGAAGCAGAGTTGGCGTGAAAAGCTGCGTTCAGAGATTGCGACCCAGAAAGTTGCTGATATAAGCAGGGAAAACAGGTGGACTGTTCCAGAAGATGGCAACACACAAGAGGGATGCAGCAAGTGAATATCAGAAGTGGGAGGGAAAAGTTGCAGAGAACAATGTCAAGGTGCGCGAAACGTACACTGCACTTACCAGGGGGTTAGGACGAAACCGATAGGCGAGCATCATGCGTTTTCGATACGCATCGTATTCATCATCTTCTTTAACTAGGTTGGATGGTCTCTCAATTCCGAGACCAATACCATCAATGTGCACATTGCCTCTAAAAGGAAAATGTTGGGCTTCAAATATATGTTTAGTCGCGAGTAAAACGGGCATCAGCGACAACCAGAACGGCAACTGAGGTGCGCCGTAGTGACGGCGTAAGATACTTCCTGAGTCAAGTGGTAAATTGTTAACTACACACGACCATGATATGAAATGCCCCGTCAAAAAGTCAATAATGTGTGCTGACCAAAGCCACAGGTGTGGGCAATTAGAAGCATCGGGTATGTCACTATTCAAGTGAAAATGAAGAGCAACGCTGCATACATCTCAAATGACCAAAGCGTTGAAATTGTGCAACTTGATGTACTTGGTCAAGTGTGTATCGAAAAGTACATCTGTTATGCATTGATCGAACGAGATGACCTCTGTGATCAATGTCTTTTCCAAAAGCTATCATAGGAAATAAGCGCTATCTTTGAAAGTGACCAGACGGAACCCTTTCACGCACAGTGACTTGCAGCACACACAAGGCAAACGCCATCATAAAATTCAGCCTCAGGTGGTGAGAAAGCATTCACAAACCCAGCAGCATTGCGATGTTGCCTTTAACCATCTGGAAGATTGTTCGAAGTGATCCATTCGACGTACCAGATAACAGTTACTGATGATGTGAAAAATTGCTTAGAGTTAGCTTTTTAATACCAGCAAATTAGTAAATAAATACCTTATTCTCGGCAGCGTGAGGAACAAAAGCATAGGCATGATAATGGCTGTGTAAGCATGTGCAAGACAACGAGCATAGGATGAAAAGAAAACCGGAAGTTGTTCAGATATGGTCAGTTGGGAGGATAAGGGTAGAAAAAGGGAAAGATAGCGAGGTGCCAGTCTATTCATCCTCAACAACACAGCGTACTCACCAACCCTCGCGATGTTATTTTCGAAAGCGGTTAATGTAAGAAGGAGAGCCTCCTAAAGGATGGAGCAGTGAATACTATTTGGACCGAAATCCAATGTTTATCTCGAAAGCCGGTCAGTGGAATGATCTCGTCGGTCGATCAGAAGAACGTTCTCGGACAAAGTTATACTATCGTTTGTAAGCAAGAAACAGATAACGAAAAAATTCAAGAGGGTCAGGTGGAGTATAGGAATAATACTAGCCTGCGCCATGTAATTGCTTTGTAGTCTGTGGCGACTAAACCGGTGACAGAAACCTCGCCTTCTTGATCACACAATCACAGCAGTTGGGTTCAAAACAGTCAATCAGAACGACACGGTGCGATCTTGCGGGAGCACAACAGTTAATTGCAGTTTGTGACCTTGTTGACCCAAGTGTGCTTGATCTCAGCGAAAATCAATAAAATGGCTCCTATGAATGCAACAGATCTTGCACAAATTCAGTAGTTGAGGGTATGTCTAGTGGAGCCATTTATCTTGGCAGCGGACTTGTAATGGTCCCTTCGAGTGCGCGCCAAATGATTAGGAGACTCTTAAGTGCTACAATTCTGCTGGGTACTAGTGCAACGCAGCAATTGGTAAACAGTAGTATGTGGCCCAAGATACGCACTTCAGTTCACCTGGAAGTTTCATCCGCAGTATAGCCAACAATAACTGAAGGTAGTGTAGCCAATCTACATTCAAAGGGCAAACGGGCGATGGAGACGACTAGCCAACAGATTGGCGCTAGGATCAACAAACCCTATGTCCCAGAGGGAAACAAGCGAAATAAAGCGATGAACGATGTCATTCAAACGAGTACAATGGGTATGTTTGTCACCGGGTACACACTCATGAAATCCAGATACCAAGAGTGGTATAACTAAAGCTCCGACAGACACCACGGTGCACATGCGATATTTCTTACGAAAAAAGTAAGCAGTCCGTAGTAGAACACAGCTTTATCTGAGGTTGAGTTACCGTGCGTGTGCATACAAAGCAACAACAAAAAGCGGCAACTTCCAGCACAGTCACTGAACGATTGCAGTGAGCTTACTAACTGGAGCGTGCGGAACTGGCTGTTGACTTGGGGACGCGATGCAACACGCATACCGATCATGGTCGTCGGGTATCCGAACAAGTGAAGGAGGAATACGCAGTTGAAACTCGCATACGGTGAAGCCAATCGAAGCATCTTGCTGGGTTTCTGTTACCGGGCCCGTGACCTGAAGGATCACAAGCCTGCACTGTAGAGGGCGCGGTTTCCAACCTACATAGAAGACGGGCGACCCTCGCAGCATCCTTAGCCCACGTGCGACTGGTTGTGGTTGCGCGGCAACGGAGTCAGTATTGCGTACAGGCGTAGTGCTGATAACTTGCATTGCCCTGTTACCAGGTTTCAGTGAGGCCACAGCTATCGACATTGGGGATTTCCAGAGTCAGCATCAGCCAAAAACAGGGGTGCGCTGATTGCATCTGGAAAGAAAATGCAAACGACTGCAAGCTGCTGTCCGTGGCAGTAAAAATGTCCGTCCAAGATAGCCCAGTCGACGGCGAAAACTGAGCAGCGCAGTAAAAGCTTGAGGGCTGCTGTCTCAAAGGATGTAATTTATGAAAGGCGGCTGAAACGCCTTTGATGTTATTGAGATCCTCAAACGAACGTTTTCTGTGACATGCGATCCTCAGGTTGTGAAAAGAAGCTACTGAGAATCTTAATGGCTTCATCGTCCAAGGGAAGAATATAGCGCGAATGCGCGGTTATTCTAAGAAAGAAAAAAGCGGGTTTCCACAGCTGGCACCGCGGTCTACCGATAACGGCACGTGGAATGCTGCAGCAAGAAGATGGAGGTGCGAAAGTTGCGAACAGACATGCAATTTGACCAGAACGAAAACAGAGGTTTCGCTACGATCGAAAGAGCTCTGTTTACACAAAGCATCCGACGGGAAAAAAACACAACATGCCTCCTCACTTGCATGTAGATAAGCAACCCTGTTACCTAGCTGGTGGTGCAACTCATAAGGAGACTGTCGCATATCTTGCCGGCACACACACAAAGGAGAAGGGTGAACTAGATTCCTTCAGCCGACATTCGTACTGCCTCATTTGCTACTTCCTTATAATCCTAAAACTACCGACCAAAAAGACGAAAAAAAGGTTGCTCCCCTAGTTACTATCGTATCCATTACATGCTACAGTCGTTACTAACCGGAGTCTGTATTGAGGCAAACTGTTCATCCAGCAAGTTAAGCAAGAACAGTTTAACCGCTGAAGGAAGCTCACCTTATCGGAGTCAACTTGTACTGTGTATATTAACCAATACGCAAATGGGGAGCAAGTTGCCAATGAATGAAGAATTATGAGCCAAACCAGGTTTGACGCGAGAATACGTGGCATTCAAGCCTGTCTGAAGTGTCATGCTCACTTAGACTGCCTGTCAATTCGATAGGCAGGCTCCAATTGACCTAGTATCAGTGAAGTGTGGTTAACTCGAAATGCAAAACCCATGTGTGCCATGTAAATTACCACCACCTCAGCTGTCAAACTAGAATTGTCGCGATGAATCAGATTACACTGCCGCTGTGTTCAAATATACTCATCAGTCAAACTTAGGTTAGAGTGGATGTGGGACAAAATGTTCGCTTTCACGACATCTGCCATCACATTTGGTTGCAAGTATTACCGACGGCATAGAACCGCGAGTTATCTACGACGGATGTGTCGACATGATACGAAACGCGTGCACTTGTTAAGCCGCATCTTCTTAGTGTACTTATGGGAGTACTAATTGCTTTAAAAACCTTTAGTTTCATTAACATGGCATAGAGTTTGCGCTCAGTATCCGTGGTCACTGTGGTGTAAGTCGCAAAAGTCGGCAAGCAATTCTTGAAAGAGAGGAAAGTGAGACTGACGTTGAGAGCAGTACGCAGGTAAATCGCACCGACGCTTCGCTGCCACTTTCATTCGTTTACGTTAGCTATGGGCGGTTATTGTGCCGTAATATGATTCACGGTGACAACAGAAAAATTAAAAACGAAAACAAAACAAGGGAAAATTTCTATTAAGCCATGTTATGTATTATGCATTGACGTCTAAATCGTGGTTGGATGGGGATCCTAAGCGGGATGGGACAGACACTTACAGCACAAGCGCCATAAGAGTCGTCTCTCCACCATATCAACAAGTGCATCAAGCCGAACGTGCTCAGCAACTTCTGGTTCGTCACTAGGAAGTAGACGTCAGACCCGAATTGGGTGTTCAGTCCGATTGACACTGAGCAGTTGGCTTTTCCTCCTATGCTCCCACCCAGAGCCCGGTGGCAAAAGCAGCACACGTCGTGGTAGTCGGTGTGCTAGCATGCGCAATATATGGCGCAGCAATCGGAGCCTAATGCGCGAACTAATGGTGCTGAGCGGTTTACTTACTCTTCCTGTGCCACAAAACGCCCAAATCGCTCATTTCTCACGTGGTGTTCCCACCAGATAACAGCCAAACTGTGAAAGCATCAGTGGCCGAACGCGACTAGCACTTTAATGTCTGTCGATCTGGTGAGCCATGTTTCACAACATGTAGTAATGTAAATGGACGGTTATATTGTAGACTCTCATCCTAAGGGCAATAGCGATGTCGCACCAAAGCCAGAAGTGGCAAAGATTGACAAAAAACCCAACCTTACAATATACGCTTCATGATCTCATGATCTATTCTATAGGCGCTGATACAGTTGCCCAGGTAGTTAAATTATGAATAATTTGTTCAGTGCTGCTGCTAGCATGTCTATAAGCTGTCAAGGATTAGAGTAATATCCTTCGCACACTCTGTCATATACGATCACCAAGAGTCGCATGCGGACTAAAAAGTAAGTGGTACAAGTGTCTGATAGAATTTACATATTTTCTGTCGGCTTGAGAAACGGAGACGAGCAGCTACTGGGTTATTTTCAATAACTAAGTTATATTACATTATACCGGTGAACATGCTGGTCATTTTCCAAGCAGAATCGTAAGGGAGCTCACCACATGTCCTTGTTCAATGATTCCGAGCACCTAAACTCCCTTATTCGATGGACTACTTCAATATAACGTATCGTCATTAGGGGGGAATCACAGCACAGGTAGATAGAAAAAAGTTGATGACCCCCATACCCTGTAAACAGCAACGATCAGGATTCACACATGAATGACATTTGGGTATTTCGTCGCACAGAAGAGTACAATGGACGTCGTTTCAGCACTACTAATCCACGCCTCTGTACCTAAAAAAACAATTCACTTCGTCCAGTGGCATTCGTGCAGTTAGTCAGATCGATTAAGCACACAACGTTGAAGTGACTGTGCTCCTTGAAGTGTTTCAAAAGAGTCGAACGCAAAGAGTGGTATCTCGGGTGTCATGAACTGCAGAGATAGCTAGTGAGGACTAAATGATGCCTAGGTCTTCATGGCATCTAAATGATGAGTGCACCCAAATCTGTTGGTCGTCAAGGTTCTTTCTACGTATTCGGTTTTGTACACACGTTTGGGCGCAAGAGCGAATGCTAAACGGTCCTATACGCGATTGCACTGGCACTGAAACAGCGTCCAACGAGTTCTCATGTCACGGATTGCCCACAAATGTCTAATCATCTAAAGCTCGAAACAAATAAGACCCATTTAAAGTCACCTGCACAAGAGATGCATTCCTAATTCGAGATATCGAGATACACATGGTGTTGCTCGCGCTAGGTAAATATGTTCTTTGCAAAACAACTGTGGGCATGATAGCGGCGAATATGAGACACCGCATGAGCACCTGTGGTTCGCCGCGGAGGTCATTGGTACACCATGATCATGTTTCAAATGGCATGTCTCGAATTGTCGATAAAAACGTTATGTATTGTTTTATACCATTAGTAGTGGCAGCTGGCTAGACCCATCGGTGAAAGCAAACGGTCACTTGGTGCCTTTTCAGACACGCGGCGAAGATCTGGCTCAATCCAACCATGGTGAGTTACATCAAATATGGCGACTCGTAAAAAATAAGAAACAATAGCGCCAACCGAAAAAGATACGTCGGGAAGACAGTGGAGCAAAATAGAGCAAAGGTGCTCCACAAATGGCTATATTAAATGATAGTCGGGATCCAAAAATGTTACGTCTTCTCCACTCGAAACACTGCTCCACGTCACTGGATTGCTACTTGGTTTGTAATAGTTAATATGCTGGACAATATTCAATAGAAACCGAAACATGTCAGCACAAGGATTAAACTGTCGGGGTTTTCAACGGGACTAAAAGGATATGATAGTCACAAAAGAAAGGGTAAATGAACGAAGGTATGTAAGGAATCGCGCAGCGGAAAATTTGAATGTGGCTGTCGTCGACGAGGGCGACCAACGTATAGTCGAGGCGGCAAAGCGCCAGGAACCTCTGATGCGTGCGTAGCGAATACTTTCGAAGTTTTATGAAGCCAATGAAACACGACGGCACCCATCGTAGGCCAGGGTGAATGGTGTTCGCTACAACGGTGAGCACAACAAAAGGATACAAGCGAAATGCGGGCAACAACATCCGCTGGTTATTCGAATAAAGATTAACATCAATAACAAGGATGTGAATGGAAGCAGACGAGACTTACTTGCCAACTGGGTTTACGATACCTTGTCCTTGTGAACCTAAACCTTCACCCTCTTTCCAGCCCATTTTTTCAAGCATTTGGAATCCGACGTTTTCACAAGTCAACTTGAATTGCTTGTACTCAGAAAGATCTGGATCCCGACCTTCTTTTAGTGCCTGTAAATTACATCGCGAAACATGTTAAAAAGAAATTATGATTAGGGAAACAAAACAACATAGGCAAATTGTAAGAGTTCAGTTCAGTCAACAAACTGCGACTGATCCGACTACCATCTCTCTCGTGTCATCACAAAAACCAGAAGAAAAACAACCGATAATGGGAAAAAGGAAACACGTAGCGATGGAAGACGTCGAGAAAGAACAAAGATGTAATCATGGGATGAGAACCTGGCGAGTCCGAATACGCTAACCTGGATAATGGCGGAAATAACCGATGCGGCCCGTCCAGCGGTCGTAACGGAATAGAGAGCAAGGAGCAAGTAAATACATTTTACCCACGTCAGTGGTGCGGCAATCTGGGTTCGCAGCTAGCCAGATGCGGTGTCCAAAAACGGCTTACATGGGTATACGATGGACTTGGTCAAAGTAATGTAGGTCGCGTTGGTGCAAAAGAGATTCTAGTACTGTACCATTGGTAGACCATACAGAAATATGTGATGTAATAGGTGTCAGTGACCAAGGACAAGTAATTTCACAGTTATCGATGCATTGTGGCACGGTCTATGCGCAACAAGAAGCAACAAACACAGTGAAACGCCGTACCCCGAGTTCTTGAATGATGCGCCAAGACCCGATAGCCTCCACAGAGAAATGAGGCTGCAATAGGTCACGACAGCCTCACAAATGTGCGAAGTACCCTCACTGACAATTTGACCACCAGATGGGAGACATGTGCCAAAGCAAGGAAACCGATCGACCACTTCGAGTGACTGTTCGTTGAATTGAGAAGTGGCACCGTAAAGATCCCATCCGACAAAGGCACTGTGAAATACGAATGTTGGAAGTACACACCCAAACGCGCCGTTCCCTACGTATCTCTACCGAGTAGCATCAGTAAAATAAGTTGGACTTGACGAAAAAAGGGACACACAGTCACATAATCCGACTATAACAGTTAATCACAAACCGGAAAGTTCAAGCAAAATGCTGGCAGCACAGAATCCGTCATAAACAGTTCGATCATGAAATTCAAGAACGACGGAAAAATAGTGGTGCTGATGCACATCATTCAAGGATAAGTTTTGCCCAGATCGACATGCGTCGTTGTGCGGCGGGAAAATACGATTGCAGAACAGAAAAGGATTCCTCTGGCACTATTTGAAGGTAAGCAGCCAGCACAAACTGATATGATAAACAAGACCAAAGTTGTATTTGCATATCATCAGCATATACAGTCTGTCTGGCGGAAGACGGCCGATGATTGAAATCCAGAATGGGAAGCGCGGTTCATGGACCTACCGTGGCTCGCTTATGGTGAATGCCGGTCATTTACGGTTGTTGTCCCCACCATCCAATGTTTAGTGAATTTTGCAAAATGCGTACTGTCTGTGGTGCGCGCGTGCAGAAACATGAATTTCTCTCACCTTAGTGGTGAGGACATATGGAATTCTCGGCAGACGAGTGGTTTAGTTCAGGGATCAGCTGAGTGCAAGCGTAAGCTGGTGAAGGACAGACCGACAGGCCACATTAGCCTGTTTTGGTCGTCGAGCGAGATGAGTACATGGATCCACAACGCGTTTCCAGTGCTCGTTAGCCGTCAGTTAACTTCACACTGAGTGCTGAAGGTCATGGCTAACCGTAGGCACTGAAGCGGTCGATGGTTATCTGTGTCTCGCTGAGCAAAGCGAAACAGCCAGCTACTCGGCCAAGTCGGCGTAGGCAAGCTGAGACGCGCAACCACAACTGCGGCGTGAATGTGTCGCGTGATGGTATCTCGGCGAACCGGGCGGTTTGGGTTAGATGAGAATGATATTAGTCAGCACAAGTCCTGTTAATGTCATTAAATCAATGCCTCAGGTAATGGAGCACGAAAAGACATTGCAATCGGGATCACGTCACGTGCCTCTTAATCAGCGCGGGCTGAATATTCGGCTGTATAGTGAATGCGGTTTAAACGCCGCATAAACTTCACGTAGGTACAATGATATAAACGCAGGATTTCGTCCCGTCACCGCCCGGTACGTGCTTAAACTAGTGAAGAAATTCGAGCAAACTGGGAGTGCGAGCGACATGAAGAAAGTCGGACCGTCTCGCATCACCACGGACGACTGTTCAGCTTGCGCTGTATTCAGTCCCGATCTCAGCATTCGTCGAATCGCATAGCACTGTAACACTACCCGATACGCGGTACATCGGATATAATAGGAACAAAATTTCGGAGATTCCATGCACCTCAAGTGCAGGCTTTGAACGCCTGCGATCCGGAGAAGCGGCATGAATTTCGCCGCTGGTTTCTAGATCACGAGGAGATTCACTGTCATCTTTACAGAGGCACTGTTTCATCTGCATGGAACAATGAAACAGTATTCTTGGGATACCAGTAACCCATGAAGGTATACCGCATCACGTATGAAGCAGTGTCAAACAAATAGTTTGGGCTGGATTAACAAGGCAAAGCTTGGGACCAGATTTCCTTCTCGGGAATGTGACCGGTAGGTTGTTGTTTTAAAGTAGTAAAGCCTTATGTTTTCCTAGCATCTTCGTACTTGGAAATACTCCAGACATTTGCGTTTCCACAGCTGGAGGCCGAAGGGGCATGTAGTACCATTTGGTGGCAGCAGGATGGTGAACCTGCACATCCTGCTAAAACGAGTGGCGTCCATGCATTCCGTATTTTCATCTAGTGGTTAATTTTCGTTCCATTCTGATTAGGCTAACGCAGTTCCTTCTTACTTCCATTTTCTCTACATTCTATTCGCATCCAACCCCACTGTCTTACCGCTGTTTTAGTGGTATTCTTGCGATGGAAATTGTGACAAATGGATCCACCGCACTTCGGAGCTGGAATCATAGTGGTTCTACTAAACTGAACTGAACTTAACCCGTCACCTGTTGCCTCACATGGCTGGGTCATGGGAGAAGAGGTCTATCCATTTCTACCCAATCTCCGAAGAGGTTGTGAGACTGAGTTAGTCTGACCCTTAGCCATTTACCTGGCTGATGTGAGTGGTTCTGAAGACATTTGAAGAATGTCACCCAGCGTTGCACAATGGGGCATGGAGGTACGCAAAACATGGCTCCAGGTTAAGGTCCAGTCTCGTTGTGATGGATGAAAGGAATAAACTGAAGTCATGCTCGGGGTTTGTGTGCAGTAAAAAACAACTCGTGGAAGGGACGAGCACAAATAATGTATTCGAGAATACAAGGTGATGTGAATCCAGAATCTAGTGACGTGGATGTTATGCAGTGCTACTCACTCGGAAAGTTTCCATGAAACGCTCCAGCTCGTCGGGGGGAAGAAAATCGCCGATGTGATGCTTTCCTCTGCCCATTTCGGTCAGTTTCTCCGCCCATTCTGTAAACCAAAGAGCGAGTGTGCAGTTCGAATAGAATGGGGATATAAAATGAGTGGAACCCGAACAGTTGAACAGCACGAAATGTCGAACGTGGCATGTAATGGCTGACACATCGCAAGCCCAATAAGAAGGTATGACGGTATCAGCGCACACAGCAAAGGAGCACTGGTTGAATACAAAAAAGGACGGGTGGTGTAACACGTAAGCAGTTATGCGCAAGAACACAACTGCCGATGGAGGCTGACGTACTAGAGAGGACAGGCCTAACTGAAACGTGCGCCAGCATACAAAAGCAAGTTATGCTGAAGACTAACGTCATTCACCGGCAATAAAGAATTCTTAGGCAGAAACTGGACAAATTGATGGTCACAAGCATTCCTAGGTGCCACATCAGAAGTAGAATATTTTGAAAAATGTGAAAAGTTAAAGCTGGGATATGAAGTACAACCTAATCATATGTTACAAAAGGTTTGGCAAACGACTGGTTAGTGCATTTGTTATACCGTACAACGTTTTGCCTTTGACTCAAAAGCTTCATCAGGCGAAGTAACTCAGCTTAAGAGTGGCAGTTTAAAATAATCACGTGCGAGCTACATAGAGAGGTCGATAAAGTTTCATTTCGCTTTTAAAACGCTACGGTGGTCAAAGGTCATTAGCTTCACCAGAAATCCGCGGGTCCCAATTGAGATAAAATGGGAACAAAAATGCTGGTCAGAAGGTAGTTACAGACATGGTCGGTAAACTGAAATGGTCCGCTGGAGTGAACTTGGTCACTGATGGAACTTGTCTTCGAAACTTGGGGATTTGTTGGAGGGATGTTGTTTGTTCATTCTGACTTTGGATCCATCTGCCGATAGACAGCCATACTCCGTCTATTCTATTCACGCAGTTCTTAGCCTTGGTTATTTCTATAACTTCAGCAATCCGTTTTTGTTTGACTGATCGCAATCCCTTCCTGATAAGCTCGACATTTTCGTGCCTCGTGTCTAGCCCATGCAATGCTACCGCCGAGGCTCTGAGCAGAGCGCTATACTCGAGCTCGTTCCACATGGGTCGTGATATGTGCCGCCTATGTTCTGACATTGTGTGTAATTCCCTCTCTGCATGGCCCAAATAAACTTGCGCACAATCTTTACATGGCATTTTGTAAATGCAGTTAGTTGTTCTATCAAAGGGAAGGGAGTCCTTCAACTGTACAAGCATCTACTTTAGCGCTTTACCCTTTTGGTAAACTACCCTTATGTTCTCTTTATTCAGTACTCTTCGGATCGCTTCCGAAGTTCCTTCGTTATACGTAATACCCACTATCGCTATCCAAGCTGTGGTTGGCTTTGCGTGTGAGTTAAGACATTTTAGTAGCTGTGTGTTCACCAATCGCCTCAGATATCCGCTAGCTGTCAAGTTTTGCATCGCCTCCTGTGCTTCATTTTATCTTCTTCCACCGTACGCAGAGCACTCACACTGTGAAATAGTGAGGCGATTCCTGCTTAAACGTACTTCGGATGGCCTGAACTATAGCTAAGTACCCCGTCTGTGTCCATTGGTTTGCGATATATTGTCGTTTTTTAGCGTTCCTTCGCTCTTGTGGACCAAACAATCGAGGAACGGGAGTGTGCCGCTTTGTGACTCAAGTTCCATAGTGAACTTTATTGCATCCTCAATGGAGTTCAAATACTATAACAATTCATCTTTGCTATCCTTTTTTAGAATCGCAAAAGTGTCGTCCACATAGCGCCACCATACTTTCAGAACGCCACGGAAATTTGGTAATACCTTCTCAAACTCTTCCATGTACGTATTTGCCAATTTGACATTGGAGAGCTCACGGTTAGATCCTCTGTTTGAGTGTAAATTCCCGATTGAAATGTGAAATAAGTCATGCCGAGGCACAAAGCTATCCTCTCGCACAGTTGATACAATGTAAGCTTTGTTCTGTCCTTTAAGCAGCTGTCTCCAATCAAACAGTTTCTCGCTAATCGTAACGCCTCTTCCTTGGGTACCTTTGTGAACAAAGAGGTAACATCGAAGCTGACCATCAATTCATTTTGGTCGATGGTCATAACGCTTAGCAGGATAGTCAGCAGTCTATTAAACAGACATAGAGCCAAACATAACCATGGAAATCACGAAAAAAAGATAGTTGAACAGCAGCACGGCACAGTAACTGAAGGTGAGCAACACACTCCAGCTATTGTGCCGCAGTATAAAAAATAACGGAGCATCTTTTTGTTATTTTGCACAAGCCATTTTTTTTAAACTTTTTTGTCCTTTTTAATCGTTAAGCATTAAGTATCCAAACCTAAACAAATATGTACACGGATCCTTCACTGGTTTCGATTGCGCGCCATATCCTGAATTGTTTCCAGCCATCAGCACTCCTCGTCCTTTGGTCCTCAACCAGGCAGACGTGTGGATCCAATGGTGGCAAGATGTGAAGTCAACGATTTCATTTGCTGTCCTCAGGTGGATTGTGGACCACCACGTAGTCTCTTCCAGTTGAGTCCTGCCCGAGCAAACAGAGCGCGATAGGGCGAACGCTCAGCTGACATGTGCAGGACATGACCGAGCCATGTTAACTGGCGCAGCAAAACCAGCTTGCTGAAGGGAATACTCGCATGCCCTAATACGTCCGACGTCTGACTTCACTGTTGCGAATGTCTTGTTGCCACCACACACGAGCAATCCTCCTCAAGCACCCGTTGTCGAAGGCCGAGAGCCGGCGCATGTCGTCTACGGGAAACGGCCGTGACTCGCTTTCTTATAGCAATACCGCCCGAACGGTGGCATTGTAAACACGATTCTTTACCACAAGTGCTGCGGGTTGACAAACGCCGACCGAGATTTGGCGATGCGAAGAGAAACTTCCATTCTAATGGTACTCCCAGCAGACAGCTGCCAAGGTGGATAAAGCTATCCACTTGTTCAAGCTGTGTACCTTCAATATTGAGCACGGGAAACGTTGAGTGCCAATGCTGAAGCAGCACTTTACAATTTGACGGGGCAAAGCACATTCCGTACCAAGATGCCTCAATCGCCAAGTGGTCTAAAATGGTTTGCAAGCTCTGTGAGTCCTCACGAAGTAAGGCGATATCATCGGCAAAATCTAGATCGGTTGTTCGCTTGCCCGGTAATAGCTGTACACCAAAATTTTGGCAACCGTCTAGGGATCTCCATAGGATGTCTTCAAACGCAAAATTGAAGAGGAACGTGGGCATAGGTCAGTCTTGTCGTAGACCGTTGTGGACAGAGAAAGACGACGAAAGCCTGGCACACACCATCACACTGACAGAGATGTGGGAATACAGTATGCGCAGGATGGCAGTGTACTTTTCTGGGACACCGTTCCTTAGCATATAACGCCACAGTGCAGGTCGATCAACCGAGTCGAATGCGGCAGGGATGTCAAGGAATACAACGATGGTAGGCCCCTGGTAAAGGCGGCAGTGTTCCAGGATTTGACGGAATGTGAATATGTGGTCCACACACGCGGAGCCAGGTCGGAAGCCAGCTTGTTCTGCCCGGTACTGCGATTCGTGAATGGGAGATAGTCTACGGAAAAGAATGGATACTAATAGCTTGGGGGCCAACCGCTTACCATTCGTGTAAACTCGTAAATTCACTAAAAATGTACTATTTCATGTTAGGGGTTGCAGTAGGCTCGCCAGGTGTTTTGCGAGTTCATGTGTGGGAGAGCCTATACCGTCCACTATAGGTCATAAGGGGACGTTAGGCTAGTGCATCTTTGGTATACCGTAAATTCTAGGTGGAATAGCCGATTTCGGATAAATACTGAACCACTTACCCTTACCTATCTTTTACGGTCCTTAGGTAAGTACCAACCTCTGTTTTCTTCTTGTCCATTAACTACGAGTAAGTTTTGTGCTCAACCACCGTGTATGGTCCCGCAGTCAAATGCTCCTTCATTTTTCCAAATAAGTTGCTTTATTCATTACCACTGTGACTTTACCGTTATCTGCCTTTGTAATAATAATATTAGGATCCACCTTCAGGGTCCTTCGCGCTACGTGTTCAGCTGGTGTAAGATTAGGTTCTGCTTGCCGTGGAAATCTAATTATATTTGCTAATTGTGCGCGGATGTCCTCTGCCTTCACAACTGGTAACCTCGTCATAGCAGTTTCAACTGGGAATCACAAGTTCCACCCTTAGCTTAGATTTAGTAGAGTATAACAAATGCACTAACCGGTCGTTTGTCAAACCTTTTGAAACGATGACTTCTCGATCGGTTCCGAATATTTTCTAAGATACCTAACATACGCTTTAAAATTCACCATGGAAACATGTATGGAAATAATGCAAGTAGCCATATAAAACACGAAACTCAGTGGTGTAATACAGGTCGAAGACGAACAGATATTTCGGAATCTGGAACAAATAACCATCCTAAATACGTATCTGTAAATCACAGTACGAATTTCACATAAGGGCCAACAAATTTTTAACTATTGGGACGTCATACACAGGAGCAAGATCCGTGTACACCAGCAACGGTGTGCTGAAGGGAGAAAGCCAATCAAACACACCTATATTTTCTGTGCCTAAATCTCCTGTTCTCCTCCTTCGTGGCAATGCCAACCCTAATAGGCGTATAGATTACCCCTTACTCGGTCATGCCAAACCAAAAGCTTCCACTAACGAATATGTCCTAACAGATGATGGCTAGTGTTTAAGTTCTTAAGTAAATTTTAAATTCTGGTGTTCATTGTTCAAACTCGACATAATATAATACAGTCCGGAGCTACCAAGTGCATGCTGAAAGGATGGGCCGACCGATGCTTCCTCCTCCCAATAGGCAATTACATTTTCGCTCTATCAGCCATCCCTTTCGTTTCATGCTCATGCGGACAGGACAAGTTCTGTTAGAAACATTCCGCCATAACTCACAATAACGAATACATACATATTTCAAACAACTGGTATCGTTAGTTCAAATCTCCTATTCCCTAAAACACCCTGTTAAGCATCTCACAGCCCTATTTTCAAAAACTAAAGAAAGTGAACTTTTCCCCTTTTGTTACCCGAGCTCAGTACAAAAATTGGATATTCTTTGAGAAAATACAACGTCACGAAACACGAATATCAAAAATGTAGTCGCCAGGTTGAATCGAAGATCTTCCACCTGTTAATATCACTCGAGAATATCGGGGTCCACCAATCCTGAGTAATAAATCGGAAAATTCACTTAATGGGCTAAGATGCAAACATCAGACTATTGCTAATTTACTGAGACCTCATACATATTGGGTCGATAAATAAACACAATAGCTACACACCTTGATCTGAACCTCCATGGGAACTGCCTCTAATAAAAACAAAGATATAAATTTTCATTTTTAATCGAAGCATCAGACTTATTATCACTGCGCCTCCATATTCTAAACTTCAACTAATGTGCAGTGATGATGATAATATCCCTCCAAATTCGTTCTGTGGCAACTCACGGGTTCTGACCGGAGCCGAACTAGTGAAAGGAGCACCAGCTTCCATCCAGGCCTAGGATGCAGTCAGCAAATATGCACATCCAGCCACTTGCGACATGCATACAGAAGTCCTACTACGGTGATTGCCTTGAGTTGAATGGAAGCGAGTGTGAGCCAACCGAAAATATAGCAGAGACAACAAAACTGAGCGAGGTATTTGGCCAAAGGATTTCGGAACCGGCTACATCAGTGAATGTGAGCAACATCGAACACGGTACGGTCGAGTCACAGATTACGGCCAAGCCTCCGGCCTCGTGTATCTAGCAAGCTATCAAAGGTGAGTAATTTTGTCCAACAGATCTCTAACCAGTTCGCTGTGTCCCAATCTGAGTCGTTGCTCATTGCCTCCACCATCGTTTAGTATCAAGGCAAGGGGAGTTGTACCAGCTAAGTCAGCTGTATTTCAGTGCGTGCATCAATGAAATTCACAATGGCTGCAGTTTTGTTCCCACATCAACGCAGTGACCAATAGTTCATGCAGTCAGAAACCACTTCTCATGAGATGCCGCCCGATTGCCTGCACAGAACTCAACGTGTGCAATCCAATACAGGTACAGGTCTGTAAGTAAATGCCACGAATTGGACAGAGAAGCGGATTCGACAGCCCTCCGCATTATCATAATTAAATTGATTTCACTTGACAATCGGCTGATCAGCACCGTTCACCGGTGACTGCTGAGGAACTAACTAACTTGGTAAAGAGGAAGAAGGAGCTTACAGAAGGGTGGAGTTGGGTTGGAACACGCTGTCTTCTTGGATACGTGGCTTGGGATCCACTAACATAGTGAGCGTGGGTCCAGAGAGAGATGGCGCATCCACGTGGAATTCGTACAGATGTTCCAATTCCCTAAGTGCTCCAGCTGGTAATTTGTGCTCAATGTCCACTCACGTTCACTACCATTGTTTACAATCAGTGCTACTATTATCACTTACTTTAATTTTATGGCGAAGTCAGAGCTGCTAGACCCAAAGCACTTTAGTGCATAGATGACATTTGATCAACTGAAATCACAATGTCGTACTGTAGCAATGACGACTGAGCTTCGGTAGACTGTGACTATATTCACTCGTCGGTTTCCGTAGTGTTAAACCTGACAGAAATAAGTTGCTCGTACTAACAAGCCACATGGTTGTTAATGCTGCGGTTGACAACGTAGTTATACGTTATCTAAAAGGCTGGTGTTGTAAACCAGTTATGACCACGTGACCGTTCTCGCTCCTGGGCGATGGCACGGGTAGTTTGTGGTCAGATCGAAACAGATGAACGAGTGACACTAAACTGATGGTCGCTAAGGTTACTATGAAATGATTACACCTACATCACGGCAGGCTCCCACTACAGACACGAAGACAGAAGCTCGCTAAGACAGAATAGCCAGAAACTCCAAATCAATATCAGCAACACCATTGAAATGGTGTCAGGAGAGAGAGAGAGAGAGAGAGAGCGATTGGCAATTCGTAAATAGCAATCCGAAAGGTGAAAGTAGAGCAAAGGATGGATAGATTAAGAATGAGATGGATATCCGGATAACAGGAAATCAAAGAGAAATACGCGCAACGCATTACAACAAGGATAGCACGGAGAGGGACTGAATCAAAGCTAACCTCGAGTGGCATCCATTTCCGCCTGCCTCAATTTGTGTTCCCATGTGCCGCCTTCACAGTCCTCGTCCGAGTCGTATTCATATTTTATCACAAGTCCATCCTTGGTGTACTTCGGTTTTTTGCTGTATTCAGGTCCCGCTATCCGAGACAACAATTCTTGCTCTTTTAGCTTCGAGCGTTGTTGAGCTAAGATGAATTCATGCATGGCTTGTAACTGGAAAATGGGGTACACAGAAACAAATTCTCAAGAATCCAAGCTTCAAAAGGTAGCTCATGTATCCGCATTGTTTAATCCGCATGAGGTATACTAAACAGAAAAACGAAAAAGAATTGAGTTGGGGCCATCTATGGCCGCTGATCAGACAACCGAAAATGGATTCGCTCACAATGGTACAGGTTACGGAAATAAATACTTGAGGAGTAACGTTAGACTGGGCGAGAAGGAAACGGCAAAATTCAGACTAACGAAAAATTCCATCGCTCGACCCGGTGGTAGTCCGAAGAGGGGAATCGATTAGTAACGAATCGTATCAAAAAAGAGGCGCAAGTAGTGAACGCTAACAAGGAGACAAGTCAGATGGCTGGAAAGTTAAATTAATTTCATTGGCTGGGAACGTGAAACCAAGTGGCACATCTAATCACTATAAGTCACGCTGAAAATAAGAAAGTAGATTAAAAGTGAAGCGGAAAAGAATGGAAAAACGATACAAGTGTAACTAAACTTGCAAGGTTAAGACAATGGAATCAAGATCCGAGCAGTGAAATGCAGCGGATGCAGTAGCAAGGACCGCAACCGCTATGAAACTGGCTACAAAAACCGATATAAACAAATACGCGATAGCCAGGATAAAAAAGAAAAAGGACACCGGAGTCTAATGAGAACGCTGATGAAAAAAAATGCTGCGAAAAAACAGCAGTGACATAGCAGGAGTGACGTGTCAAGAAACGCAACAGATAATCAATGTTTTCAACCTTGGACTCTTTTAGGAGAGAACGTAAGTATCAGTCTGACCAAGTCCTTCGGTTCACTTTTCAACTGATCTGTGCCATATCATCGAATGGGGCTGGCTTGCCGAACTACCACCTCGTGGTGCCCCATTCCGTGTAGCCCGTTCCAGCGAAGTGTTCGGCGACAGTACTCCACCTCGGTGGGCCATTGTAGTCCAGCAACTATGCTGATTTCACGGGGAGTATTGGGCCCCTGTTTGGTGGTCTACCAAAGACGCATGAACTGAAAATTCAATCAGCGCGGCTCCCTAAATTCGCTCCGCTGTCTTGCGGGTAGGTTATTTAGCCAAAGGCTCGGGGTGGAGTCCCCTAAGTCAACTCCCTACTTCGGCTTGAGCAACCGGGTAGTATCACGCTCTATCACAAAACCATCGACTGTACCACAACGTTCTCATCGAATACCGTTTCCGCTTCTTACATTCAGACAACTTCATCACACGCTAATTGTTTGTTTGCTAACAATTCTTACTTTCCCTTACCCGATCCATGTGTTCAAAACTCTGGCTGCAATTCCGATTGCGCAGCAAACCACAGAGTTCAACCTATGGCTCGCGTTCGACTCGGATATTCGTTCTGTCTAGCGTACTTCGACGTTCGGATACTCTTGCAGATTGGATAGCAAGCCAGTCTAGCGCGCACCCTAGGGTCCGTCGATATCGACGTCTGCTGCATTTCAGAAACCTGATTGTAAGATCCAACCGCAGTGCTTACGTTGACATCCCCCATTGACCACGAAGCCAGATATCAGATGTGTCTTTCTGGAGATCCAGAAGCAGCCCCAGTGGGTTTGACTGGTGTAAGTAAAGCACTAAGTGGCAAGGCCGAGGTGGCACTATCGGACTGGTTCCCGATTAACAGCCGACTGTGTGCAGTTCGGTTTCGGAGTTCATGTAGAACCAACAAGCGCCGCGAGGAGATATGTGCTGTAGTTTCCACTGACTGTACGAATAGCCTGCCAGAAACTGTTGTGCTGCCTCCAAGCGGTTCAGCCCGCAACAAAATGAGAACACCAAGAACTGCCGGACTGAGGGATTCGTATTGTATCAGAGCATAGTGCAATAAAGAGGTTGAAGGCAACTACCAACAGATCGATATTGGAGATGCTAATTAATGCTAATTAACACAACTCACAGGGTTCAAGTTCAGAGTTCAACTTGCCGCTGACCCCACATTGATTCCCGTTTTCATCTCTGCTCGCGTTCGATCTCCAATTGTAAACTGATCCAATGTTGCGCCACGGTTCTCGGCCGGTACGCTGACCGTAAGTTGGCTCTCTGTAACAAGATGCAATTTGTTTGTGATCTCCGCGTACGCTCCAGCTGACAGCAGTAGTTGCTCGGTCAAGGATGACTTCTATCGGAAGCTACAACAGCTCTTGACTAATACTAAAAAGTCAAATGTCGTTGTCCTTGCTGGGGATTTCAATGCGCGGGTTGGCCGTCTGTTACCATACGAATGCCACCATGATGGTCACCACGTGCTCGATGAGGACCGCTCAGATAACGGAAAGAACTTTCTCATATTGTGTGAAGACAACCATCTGCTTCTCTCGAGCACTAACTTCAGGCATATGAAGAAGCGTTTCGAAACCTGGCGTCTTTCTTCGCCAAAACAACCGTGGTCTCAAATTGATCACATTGCAATCAGCTTCAGATGGTGTGGCAGCGTACTGGACTGCAGGTCCTTTTGGTCCGCCTTTTTGACTCAGATCATGCACTAGTCTGCGCGAAAACCTGCATGTTTTTTGAGGTCCCGAAAGACAAAGCATCGCAAGATTGATGTAAACAGATTAACTGATTCCTCTGTCCAGGTGAGCGATCAGTCTTCACCGGCATACGCACTCAGTTGCAATGCACTGAAAGACATAGAGCAACACTGGACTTGTATCCAGAAAACAATGACCTTTTCCGGAGAGCCAGGCTGCGGTCTAACTTGACGCCCCTTAAAGGTTTGGATCTCTGCTCGCTCACTGGTGCTGTCTGACCGCCGCAAAGATATACCGGCGGAATCAGATAGCAGAGCGACGCCCTTCTGCAAACTGACTGCTTAAGCAAAGTCTACGCAAGGATCGCGAGGCATAGTGATCTGAGCGTGCTTTAGTGATGGAGACCGCTACACTCGCAAGCTTTTCCAACTCATTCGGTCCACTAGCCTCAAGAAGTCAGTTGTCAGTGAGGTTATTTGCAAAGCGGATGAGTCTCCGATCACCAACCAACAGAGGCTTTTGGACCGCTGGGTCGAGCACTTTCATTTGCAATTCAATTGGCCTCCACCGTAAATAAATAAAAAAAATAATAATGTGTCAGCTGTACGCCGGAACGGCGCTTCGCTGCCGCGCGACCACCACCAGTCGCGCGCGGGCTGAGTATACCGCGAGGACGCCCACCCCTACGCGGATTCCAACCGGTGACCTTATGGTTGCAAAGCAAACGTGCAGACCACTCGGCCACCGGCCGTAAATCAGTACATGCAGTACACCTTGTTGTCTACCCTGACTCGTCCCACTGAATGCACTAAGCGGAGTGGAAGTCTGTCTCGAGATACAACGCTTGAAGCGGTTCAAGGCTGCCGGCTCAGACGCCCTTCCTCCGGAACTGCTCAGGTACGGCAGCGTGGCGATCATAAACCAGCTGACCTCGTTGTTCGTAAAAATGTGGTATGAAGAGAAAGTGCCTTCCTCTTGAGGCGAATCAGTTATTGTCCCGATTTTCAAGAAAGGCGCTCTCAATTCAAGTGTAAAACATCGCGAGACTAGTCATATTTCGGTTGCCTCCAAGCTATTGGCATCCATTCTGCTTCGTAGACTATCCCCAAAACGCGAATCATACTACTGCGAAGAACAACCTGGTTTCCGAGCTGAGAAATTGGATTGCAGACGTTTCACCACTAATCAAGGTGGCATCCATAGTGCGTAATAACAAGTAGTTTGATAGCAGATGCTGAGCTTCGAGCAAATCCAGAGGTGGATGCCATCGGCTGCGGGGCTGCCCTTTATAGACAGTTCAATCATTGGCTGGTGGGAAGCTTGATGCGACGTAAGATGGCTTCTTACAAGTTCATTGGTGCAATGGCCCACATGGCTGCAACGGCTGTTCTGTTCCTTGTTCAGTCGCTGGCCTGTGTCGATTCAAGCCACGGTTTCTAATCCGTCTTGCATCTTCCTATTTTAATTGTTGATATACAGAATCAAGGCCAATGCGTAGGTTTAGTGAATTCTCTGTCGAAAACCAAGCTTCCAGAAATTCCCTTCCTAATCTCGTATCACTGTGTGTCAGAATCTCTGTTCTGGTCCAAGCAAAGCTGTGTTCTTCTTCATTGACGTGCATCGGAAGCAAAGATGACGTATAATGATTTTTGCAGGCACGCTTATGCTCCTGTATTCGCGTAATCAATTTCCGTCCCGTTTGGCCCACAGAGTTTTGTCCACAGTTTTGGCAAGGAACCCTGTATACAACACTGCGTTGCTCAAGGGCTTCTACTTTCGCTTTCGGTTTAGACATTTTTGTGTAAATTCGTCGCAGTTAGACACAGACTGTCTGTGTCTAACTGCGACGAATCTACACAAAAACCTAATAAATCCCCCTGCTACTTATAAGGTTTCGACATTGTTCTTTTAAGGGTACCCGTCGGTTTGTGAGCAATCATTAGGTGGTGTGATTTCAGGAATCGGACAATCAGTTTTGAGACGTTCTTCACATATGGTAGAATGATCCGTTTCGTTGTAGTTCATGTTGCGGTGGCGTTGATGGTTCGGGGACCGATGTACCTCCGGATGTCACTGCGCGGGTGCCCGTTGCAGATGAAGAAAGTGAACAGATGTTTCTCTTCCTTCCGTTGTGCTTCTTTTGTGCTGCAATGTGATTCGATTCTTTGGGATAGAGTTCGTATGCAGCTTATCTTGTGACATTTTGGATGATTACTGTTGTAGTTCAGGATTTGGTCAGTGTGTGTAACCTTTCTGTAAACCGAGGTGTGTAATTCTTCGTCCACTGTTCTGGAGACCAAAACGTCCAAGAAAGGATGTTGGTTTATTTTTCTGGTTCCATGGTGAATTGAATGTTGTCCGGTGCATTGTCCAATACATCTTGTGCCGCCTGCAACTGACTGTGTTTGAGTATCACAAAGGCATCATCAACGTACCTAATCCGGAATTCGGGTTAATGCTTGGGAGCAGATTTTCTTCCAACCTTCGCATGACGAGTTCCG